GAGAAAGAACTATATGTACAGATCTTAAAGAAAGAAATGCTTTGTATCATGAAGAGAGAGAGAGACAGACAGAGAAATAAAATTAGTGAAAGGTTATGGGATTACATTCAGGTGGGAAGTAATTGGATGAGAATGAGAATTTCAAACATCAGCTATGTCTCAAATAATTTCTGAAATGGCAACGACAAAAAAAAAAAAAGAGCTAAAACAAAAATGAGTCAATTTATGTAAAACATATCAGTATCTTATCCAATTGTTGACACACGATAAACATGCTGGCTAGCCATATCTTATTTATAAAATAAATTACAATATTGCTACAATGCTTTGCAATTGTGTATAGAAGGAAAATTGTTTTTTCATCTATAACACTGTGAAACTGTTCCCAAACCCATGCTAAACTGTATAGCAAAAAGAGAAATGGATTGTTATGGCTTCATGCTTCATCTCTTGGGTCCCAGACTCTAGAATGTATGCACACCACTCAAGCAGGCATGGTGATTGACATGGAGAGAAAGAGTGGAAATCACCACCTCAAGGCTTAATTGCAAAGATATAATCTGCCAGCACATTTGCATTCCAAATAACATGTACAGTCGTGTGAAAAAGAAAGTACACCCTCTTTGAGTTCTATGGTTTTATGTATCAGGACATAAAAAAAATCATCTGGTCCTTAGCAGTTCTCAAATGTAGGTAAATACAACCTCAGATGAACAATAACACATAACATATTATACCATGTCATCATTTATTTTACAAAAAGAAAGCCAAAATGGAGAAGCCATGTGTGAAAAACTATGTACACCCTTACTGCTTGATAAAAATCATCTGGTCCTTAGCAGTTCTCAAATGTAGGTAAATACAACCTCAGATGAACAATAACACATAACATATTATACCATGTCATCATTTATTTTACAAAAAGAAAGCCAAAATGGAGAAGCCATGTGTGAAAAACTATGTACACCCTTACTGCTTCCATATGTATAAAGAGGCTAAGTAGCAGCCAGGTGCTGCTAATCAAATGCCCA